ACGTTTTACCGAGCAACGACGACCGTCGAGCAACCGCGATTCTCTTTCTCTCCCCCTTTCTCTTTCTCTCTCCAGCTCTCTTCCGTGCGACCGTGACGGCTAACGAACCCTGGACGCGCGTATCGTATCGAGCGGTGGCGCGTACATACCAGGGACGTATATAGACACGAGACCGTACTATATACCTAAGTACCGTCCGAATCGTAGACGTCTAGATATCGAGTACTCCTGCACGACTTCTGGCCGATTTCTGACGAACTGAAAGGAAAGTTCGTTCCTGGCAGGATTGGTAGACTACTAATGTTTTTTTTCTTTTTTAAGAATAAAACATATTGTATTTCTTCTTAAATACTATATGTTTTTAATGATCCAAATATGCTTTAAATAGTACTATAAAAAATATATTTAAAACATATTAAAAATATCAATTAAACATATATTTTTAACTATTTAAAACATATTTTTTACCAACCCTGATTGTTGAGTCTCCCAAGCTGAAACACTTGTCAGAATGAATTGGCCACGATCAGCAGAATGCTTATTTTGCAACTGTTGGGAGTTCTCTTCGCGCCGATTAGATTTGTACACTTTCAGATTGGAAGAATAGTCCTGTGTCAGTGAAGAAATCTTTCAACAGTTGCAAAGTAAACATTCTGCTGAACAGGGCCGTCGAAATGATTGAAAGATTGCCAAAATGACCATATGCATGCAGCCCTTATTTGGAATTCGATATTCCTTAGCTCAATGAAATTTCCACGAAAACATATTTCCATTCAAATTAAAACTTCAATCAAAAAAGTCAATCAAAAACTTCAACAACGTTAATGAGAGAGACACGAATCACTAAGATCCAAAAGTGTGAAGAAGCGAGAAATTGAAGAAGGCACGTGAAGCATTAACTTCTTTTAAGGATTAATTTTTATTAATTGTTAAATAATTTAATTTTCTATTATATTACATTTTATTCAATTTAAATCTATAGCAATTAAAGAAAAAAAGGAAAGAATAAATAAAAATATATTGTGATTTATTTTTCGCTTGCCACACTAATATTGAAATTAAAAAAAAAAAAAAAAAAAAAACTAAACACATCATACATTGTTGTCCCCGAAAAGATATACTTAACGTTCATTAATTGAGTTGGCCAATAAAATATCGCTCTGAATCTTTTGGTCAATACAGTCACATGATGCGCATTGAGCGAATACACGTCGAGGTATTCCCTGGCGCCTGAACGTATGCAGTAAACATCAATTAACGCCAACTTTGTTCAAGCCATTCTCCTCCGTATCATGTGGTATCATGCACGGTTATGGCAATGTACGCGAAATCACGATTTAGAAAGAGGCATTGAGCTCATTAACTCACGCCACAGCTTCCTCGGTGTATTCATTGTCGGCATGTATGCGCTTACAGTCAATTAAAACCTAGATCAGTTGTTTGCTAATGTATACTTGGAAGCTTATCTTCCACGAAGGTAATAAGATCTCCAAGTTTTTCAACGTGAAAAAACATATCATACATCAATCTCAATTGGATTTTTGTAAATTTCATGGTTTTTCGATAAATTTCTCTATTTTATCAAAATACCTAATCAACTTACAACTTCATTAATATTCTCTATTTTATTAAAATACCCGATTAATTTACAACCTCATCGATATTCCCCCTTTTTCTTTCAAGAAGTTGATCAAGTTTGGCATCGTGATGTAACACGTGCAAATTCGATACATTCCCAGAAGCGCCGTTTAATCAGATCTGATTCGGTGATCGCCGGAAGGCGAGTCTTCCGCTTTCCGATAGCGCAACGGCGTGCTAATATTGACACACACATGTAGACTTATATTCGCGACGGCGACGCATGAATGGCGACGCACAACGCGTGCATGGATGCAACAACGGGGGAGGCAGATCCGAGGTTGCGGCCAGGGGAGCGGCCCGGCTCATAGCGGCGGTGGCGGAGGCGGAGGCGGAGGCGGTGACGGTGGCGGCTGCCGCGGCAGACGGTTTCATCGATTGGCATTGCCGGCATCGTCCGGAGGAGAGTGTGAGCGGGGTCCGTGAACTCTGTGCTGATGGCGCATCCCGGTTTTCATGGTCATGGGTAAGAGGGCGGTTGCCCTCGACGGAGGGCCGAGAATCACGTCCTTCGCCTCTTGCGCAACTCGTGATGGGCAGGGATGATTGCCGTAATAATATCACTGATATCGTCGTTCCTTTTCCCCTCCGAAGCCTCGCATTCAAATCGAACGGAATGTTTTCAGCGTTCTAGTTGGAAACGCGCATTCAATACGAATTTGAATTTCAAAGTCGAGCCGGAGAATGATGTTCCATTCAGGGTTCTGATGTTATGCGTAGTACACTTTCCATCCATTTAATTACAAACGTGAAACGAACTGAAGGAGAAATAAGACCATTGCTATCCGTATCGTATATAAATGCTACAACTCTAAGGAAAACGAAGGTATTGTCCGGCTGATGTGTGGCGAGATGTAAGAGAATATTCTGAGTATATACGATCGCCTAGTAACGCCGCTGTTCATGAGACAGAAATGGTCTCGCAATCTGAGAGACGCTAATCGCGAGCTAGCTGAGCCGGGTAAACGCAATTGCATGAAGGCAGGCACAGAAGCGCGCAATTCACGACGGAGTAGCGCGCAATTCAGAAGCCCCCTCGTTCGCCTTGAAACGAGCGCACGCTCGAGACATGATAAAATGCAAATGCAACGCCCAATGACGATTCTCTCTTAGGAAAACGCAAAACACGTGGAAATTGCCACGATTAGTGATTAATGCTATAAATGAAAAATAAAATACGTAATTTCTAGGTGAGTTTTCTTGGATTTTCAAAATGTATGCGATATTAAACGTGAGAATTATAATGATTAATTAAACATCAATATCACCGAGTTGTAAATTAAAAATAATTAGTGTTCAACATTATTTCCAGAAATCATTCTGTGATGATAAAGAATCAGCGCCGAATGTGCTACACATGAGAGAAAATGAACATTGGACTGATAACGACGACGATGACGATGACGAGAAAGACGCATATGCGTGCTCCGCGTGCGTTGTATGCATCTGTCAAAACCACGCCCTTATCCCCATCCTGCTGCCTCGCGCTATTCGCCTGTATGTATACAGAGAAAGAGTAAGAAAGTTTCCCAGACAGACTTTCCACGATTTGTCTCGTTTCGAAAGAACAATTAAGTTTAATTAGCAGCTCACATTTATATAAGTACAATTACACATTAAATTATTATATTTTGGAGTCGATTTCTTAGAATAAACAGAAATGTACGGCAAAATGTAAAAAAACAAAATGTGATTAGTGAAGAAGCAGTAAACATATAATAATGAAGAGAATAATGAGAAAATACACGAGAAGCGAATCAGAGAATAATCGATGAATAAATCTTTAATAAGCTTGTTACGTCTAATTTTGCACATTTCACATTTGCGTTTATATAAACACACACGCGTTTGGAAAGTAGTTTCCTTAAATTTAAACTTCACTCCTTCAGAACGTTTTAAGTTTCTCCGATCGAAAACGCTGTAAATTCACGCGATACTGTTCACTCATTAATTCAGGCACATTAATTTGCGTCTGTTAATCTTATCGATCCTCATGTATGTGCATAATTACAATGAGATATAATAACGGTGCATACGAGGTATCACTAGTAACACGTACAGAAAAGAAATCCCTGTCGGTGAGCGATAAAAGGTCTAATTCACCCACGTTTTAACAATATGTATTTTATGCATGTACTGTAATTTTAGGAAAATACTGTAATGGACATAAAATACGATAATAGGCATCGTATATTATAGCAGTTTTTTTTTATGATGAAACATTCATTATTAAAACGGTAAATGACTCATTCCCGTTTCGTTCGACTCTTCGTCATATTCCACGAAGAACATCATTGATTCGCGATGCCACCGCTCAGTTACGGAGACGAATGAATAGGAAAACGTTTGTTTTCTTTTAAAAAGAGACTCCTTTCGGCCACACCCCGGGTCCATTTTCGATCGCGACGAAAGCCCGATCGATATCTTGAGTGCAAGCCCGGTCGGTGGAGACAACGTACAATTTCCAGGTATGCAATTTAATTTATTATATGTTATATAGTCACGGAAAATTCATCCTACAATATTCCTATTATCGCCGCAGGCATAGAAATTATTTACCGGTGAAGCGACAATCAAATTTAATTACCACGCTACCAGCAAAATGGAGAGCTCACGCCGAAACGTCGCGTTCCAATTATTGTGAATAATATAAGAATTATTGTGATAAACACATAAACGGTTCAATGCTGCGTGTTTATATGAAAGCGTGAATTCGATGGTAATTGTAACGAACTCTGTTGAGTGTTGTACGAAAGACACTCTGAGATAAGTTATAACTCGCGTCGAAATTATCAAGCGAGAATCGTAACGCCGATTTATAAGGCGGTTCCGATTGACTCACGGAATCGAAATTCTATTTCCAGATCACTATTGTTCGCTTATTACACTTATTAACTTCGCCAATTACGGGAATGCGAAATCTCTCAGCTGAGATATTTCGCAAGTGAAGAGCCGACTGCTAAACGTTTCGCCGCCTCACGAAGGATAGCACCGAAAGCATCACTTTCTGCACAGGGTGTCACGGTTCCCCGACGCTCTCACGCTAGTCTCGATGCCAATTCTTTTCCACTTCTGCAACTTAATATGCGAAAGGGAGGACAGAAGAACGAGAGAAAGAAGAAAATGATGCTCGCTGTCGTTTCACCGGTCATTTCTTTTGAAAATGAATTGAATTCGTTTTGAGCGAGTAACTTCCTTAAGAGTACACAGGAATCCGGGAGACGTTCGGAAATATCTTTGGAGAATGTTCGCTAAATATTTACGATTTCGGCCGGTTCGTTTTGCTCGCTTTTAATCCGCCATTGGACGCACATTGCTTGTGAGAAAACTACGGTGTAACTCGCGACGAAGGGTGCACTGACCTGTCAGTTGACGCGTGCAGTTTCTAGGGCGCAGGTAGGCGCGGACACTGTCGAACAGCAGACGTTGTTCAAGGGCAGGAACGAGACGGTACACTGACTGACCGGTTAGTGCTTCTGCGACACGTAACACCAGGTAACAGCGTCAAACAGCGCCCGTCGTTCATCCCCCTCTACCCGCAGCCTCCCCTCTTAGGTTGACAGGCCCCTCTCGCCAGGATCGGCGCAGAAAAGGCTGAAAAGGATTTGATGAAGTGCCTGCAGTGCCTTTCCATGCCGTTAACACGCTCTGAAAATTGAAATAGTGGGATATCACATAAAGAAGTAGTTTATTGTAATACTAGTAGCATCATACAAAAAAAATCTTTAAATTTAATTTAATTTATTATACGTTTTATATTCAGCATGTTAAATCTGTTCTTTGTGGGTGAACTACTGTACGGTTGATATGTATTGTATTTGGAGTTTGATGAAAGCGAGAAATTTTTAGTACAAATCAGTCCAGCGACAAAAAACAGAAACACATAATAAGAGATGAAATAAATAAATAAACCTAAATTGTAGTTGTACTCCGTAGAGTTAATTTAGAATTAACTTTCTAATTTATATACGACAAAAGAATATAATGTTCATACCATGTTAATATGTACTGCAAAAATATATTTCGGGTTATATGTAAATCATATCTCATTTCTTTCACAGCACACGTGCACAACGTATATAGCATCTGGGTCTTGCGACTGCACATATCGTTCCTGGACTGGGACCCCACCGCTCACGAATGGGGACCAATCGACGCTTAGCTCCTACCTCCCCCAATCGCGTCAATTAATCGCGTTCCCCTTTTCTGCGTCTTTCTTTCTGATCGTCTCCTTGACCGTCATGCGGAGGGGTAACTGACTCACCCTCAGCGACGACCGGGAATTTACGTTCGACGCACAGCCGGCGTCGCGAATTTGACATTGAACGCGGCTTCTCGGCGACGATCTTTTTATATCCTCTTCTCCTTGTTTTTCTCCTTCTCCCTCTTGTTCTCGAGCTGGACAACTGAATTTGCGATGTCTATCTATTCCCAACATGTTCGGGGAGGGGGAGGGAGGGTGGAAGGAGACGAAAATACTAGGGTTGATACACGTCAGTGAGTCATCCGAGTCCCATGTAGGCACATCTGCGTGTCACATGTTCGTTCGTAAAGTTCCGTTTTAGTTAAGCTGAGAACTCGAAATAACCGGAAATAAAAAGATACAATTTTGCTCATTTTTTGAAATTTATCCATTTGGTAATGACAGATGTGCGACGATCTTTATTATAATTTGGAGTAGTCTTTATAGAGAAAATTATAAAAAAAAAATAAGATAGTAATTAGGAATTAATATAAGTCGTTTTTATGAATTAAATTCTAAAATTATAATAGTTGATGCAACGTTTTTTTTTTAATTTCTTCCATAAATAAACATATTAATATGCAATTCCGGAATATTCGATTCAGTATTTAAATATGTTTCGAAACAAATAATTGGGAACAACGAGATATTGGGAATGATTTGGATATGAAATATTAATTTGCATCGACATGAACTTTTATTGACAGTTGAGACACCTCTTACCTCTAAATTTAATACACATCACATACTTTCTTATTGTAATGTAACTATTAGGAATATATACAAAAAGCCATTATAAGGAAACTCGTATTATATACGGCGATACAATGAAAAGATTTGTAGTCTCGAGGTATGAATAAAGAATACTTATCTAAATACGCGAATTGTATAGGTCGGATGATGTGTATCGCTAAACCTAATGATATCTATATAATAAAAAAAAATGAAAGGCAAAAGCCATTGGCTATGATTTAATTAGTAATTAAAATTTATTTAGTAATTAAATCAAAAATTACCTGAAATCAACAATAATGTTGGTTTTTTTTACAAAAAAACTCCGATTGTATCTTTAAAATGTTCAAATTATATTGAAGGGAAAGCATCGACACAGGTTTAAAACCTCATTAAGATTAATGAATAGAAGATATATATATATATATGAAATAGTGACTTTTTTGCAATTGAATATAAAAAATGATCGAGAAAAAAAACAAAAAAGAAGGAAAAGAAAGAACAAATAATAGTTTGCTGATTTTTTTTATCTCTCTGCTTAGTCGGCTTTCTGTTTGCTGCTCTCCGGCGATTTGTCACCATTCATAGGCGAACGAGAGCGACTACGGCTCTTGCTATGTTTGCTTCCTGATCGGGAGCGGGATCTGTCACCTCTGGAACGCTCGCGGCTCGACCTATCCCTGAAAGGAGGAGGAACGTTTAAGGAGTTCAGCATTTGTGTCATCGTTCGAGAAATTTTATTTTCTTGCGCCAACTATGTATCGATTAAAGAAAAGGCCAGCGAGAGGACTCACTTTGAGGGAGACTTGGCTTTGGATTTGGACTGCGACCTGGACTTTGACCTCTCAGCCTTGGACCTAGAACGAGATCTGGATTTGGACTTTGACTTAGATTTCGACTTTGAGCGGTCTCTTGATCTGCAAAATTATAGTTCAAAATGAAAGGGATACGAAAGTAGAGAAAGTTGACAAAATACAAAGAAACTCGTTTTCTTTTTTTTTCTCGTTTTCCAAGCGCGCGCGCATGGTGAATAGGTGAACGCGTATAAAGCGTGATTAAGCGTGAGAGCTCAAGGCACGTAGCCAGCCCAAAAACAATGCCAATAATAAATGGGAATGAGAGTGTACACTGACTGTGACTAACTGCGCAAGAAAAAAAAATAAAATAAGTGAAATAAATATACAGTTATGAATAGAATAAAGAGATTGATAAAACAAAGATACTTACTTGGATTTTGAGCGTGAACGACTACGCTCGGGGGATTTGGATTTAGACTTGGACTTGGACTTCGAGTGTGCTCTTGACTTGGAACGGGTGCTACGACGGCTGTGGCTGCGAGAACTGCGACGGCTTCTACATTACAGAAAACAACAATAAGGTGTACTTAATATTCTAAAACGGTTTCCGATGTTATCACAAATTATTTCATTATGCGATAAGTTTTGCGATCGTTTTTGCAAAAAATAAAACTTTGATCAACTCATAATCAAATAAAATAGAAACAAACTTAAAACAAAAATAAATTTATAAGTTTATAAAAAATTAAGTTGTGACAAATTACTTTAACGCAAAAATGAAAACATAATGGCAGAAACTTAATTAAAAAATAATAAATTTGGACAAAATAATAAATGGATCGCTTTGTAGACTGTCGTATTACAAGACTGTATCTAGATAAAGATAAATTATAATAGAAAACATAACAGTTGGCGTACGTAATGTCGCCCCGACAGTACCTTGATCGGGATCGAGAACGACGATTATACCTTGAACGGGAGCGCGACCGACGACGCGATCGAGATCGTGATCGGGAACGCGATCGCGAACTAGAAGATCTTGAACGACGACCACGTCTCTTGTCTTCGATGAGTCTAATCCTGCGACCATTCAATTCTGTATCGTCTAATTTATCAATAGCGTTCTTCAAGTCGGAGTACGTCGCGAATTCGACAACTCTGCAAAATTATAAATCATTTAAATCATTAGATCAATGTAACACGAAACAATGCAGATGTGCAGATATTTTTTATAAATAATCTTGTTATAATGTAATTTCCTACTGTTTCTTTTAGTTATTAAAACAGAGCGACTTAATTTTACTCTTATCATTCTCACAATTAACAAAATCACTTACCCTTCGTTTCTACGTTGCTTATGAGCATCAGCATATGTCACTTCACCAGCTTGTCTCATGTAATCCTTCAAATCCTGAACATCACACAAGAACCAAAATTAACATGTTTCTCTATGCTAATGTACATAAATATGCGAATAAATTTAGAATAGAATTAGTAGTTGGAGTTTACTATACTGTGTTTCTAGTCTGATGTATCGCGCAGGTTAAAATATATCCTGTGCACTCTTACGTTATATGCTATTTCGATTTCTTTCCTTGTCAGAGGTAACCTGGATCTACTCGACTAGGGAAAGAGATAAGCATAGCATGGTGTCTACATCTGCTCGCGTCTTCAGTGTTGAGAATAAAGTTATCAATTACGTGTTCGAATTTAGTATCCGCTTATCGACACAACCTTTCTTTTTATGCAATTCAATCTTTTAAATAATTATGATTATGATTTAATTTATACATATAGACAACTCCGCCCTGCATAATGAAACATTTATAAAACGCTTATATAAATCAATCAATTAATACAGACTTTTTGAGAGTAATTTTCATTTCTGCAGGATGGCTCACAATATAATTACAAAAGTAATAAATGCGATACTTTTTAAATATCTGTAACATGTGTCATAAAAAATAATATAACTGTAACTAATATATTTAATATACTGTTTTAAGTAATATATAATTCTTTAGAAAGAATTACATATATATAGCAAAAAAAATCGCTATAAAGCGACAATTAAAAATTCAATATACATAAACATAAAAAGTTCAGCAAAAGTTAAGCAAACGTTTCGAAGGCTACGTGAATATATTCTGCATCGCAATAAAATAGAAAAAAATTAGTTTGCACATAAGGAACTAAGGATGAAAATTGTGTTAATTTTTCGCTAAAAATAAAACCATAGTGAGTTCATCGATCATTCTTCTCCCGTAATATTTTCTTGGATTTTTTCTCTCAATGTTGTAAGATTACTCAGTATTGTGAACAGATGTCTTCCACATTATTCTTTCTTCTTTCTTTTTTGTTGTTTCTTCCACACATCATCTAGTTCAATGCTTCGCAGTCATTCCTCATGAAGGATATTAGCGAGTGAAGGTAAATATTGTCTAGTGGTCCATTTGCGTTCATCGCTGGGAGATTTGCTTATATGAATATTTCTCTTTTTCTCTCTGTCTCTCTCTGTACATGTGTGGGAACCAGGTACGGCTTTAGTGTTATGGAGATAACTAAATAGACAGTAGGTGTGGCTATGTGTCCGTTGTTTTGGCGAGTACGAGATAGCGCAGACATCTCCGTATCTGTGGGATACCACATGGCGACGGCCTGTCTGAGATTTGTGCTGATGTTTCTCAAGGTCCAAGCGCAAATTCCATGTAATAAAAAAAAAATAAAAAGGAAAAATAGAACGCATGCCATTGCCAAAGATATATTTCCAACGCTGGACAAATTTCCTCTGCAATATCATTCCTCGCTTGCTACATTTAAAATATAATGTAATAATGCAAATTATTTTGCATAAAGAAAAGTTGGTCTTTTACTATTCAGAAAATTTTGAAATGTATATATATATTCGCGATAGAAAGATATTCATTGTTATAAATAGAGAAAATCCAAACATTATCATACGTTGAGACAAAAAAATTGATTTAGCGAGTAACAAGTAGATTTCTAATTTCGAGCACATAAATATATCACTAGTGGTTCCCTATCTCCGATTTCGCATTTAGTTGCGCGTGCACAGCTCCGAACTTCATAAAACTTGAACAGTTCGATGTTCGCTGAGCTATAGTGCACAGTATAATATTAAATAAGGAGGTGTATAGATAGATATATTATAATTATATATATAAATAGTATACATATGTGAACAAAACCACGTTCAAGAGTGTGTAGTTATAATAGATATATATGTGTATATCTAAGAGTACACTCGGTTAAGGTGACGCATTTACCTTGGGCCCAGGCACCACCTTGCTTACGGACAGAGAGAAAGGCCAGACACACGGCGCTCGGTCGGGTCGAACGGATCTGTATGGCGTAGTCGCGGATGGTTCGGGTTTCGGCCCGTGTATGCCCTCATGGGTGTGGCCGTTGCCTGACTTACTAGATGGCTAGGTTGCATGGCGTACCAGTAGCAATGACAGTCACAGTGAAGTGGTAGATGTGATGGTGGTTGTAATGATGGTCGATGGTGAAGGTACTGAATTATGACCATGTCGGTTTATAGTAATAGGAAGAGTGGTGATATATATTGGTGGAGGTTGTATACGTAAATAAATGTTTGTTTCCCAGACGGATAAAGTAGATAGCGGCGGTTGGATCTCTCTCTCTTTTTCTTTTTTTTTCCCCAGTGATCACGATGAAGAGGATTGAAGTATGCACAATAACCCTATCACTGGGATTTCACCGAGATTCACCACGTATTACTGCGCGCGAGTAGTAGTATGATGGTAGATAGGTGGTGGTAGGTGTACATCCCAGTGCCACGCGGCTCTCTCTGTCACCCGGGACACCTCAGAAACCAACCTGGTGCCACTTGACCTCAAGACGGGCCCATCGCGTGCATCGTCATCTCTATCATCGCACATCAGTCTATTGGCCCTACCGGTCGCCCCTCCTCGGCGAAGAGGATATGGCTCTTCGGAAAGAACATCAATTTTATTTCGTTTTTTCTCAAACTGTTGGCCGAACGTAAATGAAATAATAAATTGAAAAAGTAACGTCGAACAATCAAGACTCGATCGAGAGAATATTTTTTGGTAAATAACCAATCATCGGAAAAGTGCAACGACAGTTATAGAAAAAATATATATCTACTTTCATAGATTATGTATGTAATATACAAATATATACACAATGTAAATTGATCAAGTAAGACTTGGTTTACGTGCAGTCTTCATTTCGATTTACGAGTATAATTTTTTATGGCTTTTTGGTTTTAAAAGCATCCACTTGCGTCCTGGTATTCCCACATATCGTTTGCATTTATCTGTATCGCTCGGTTTATCGTCTCCATTCATTGCTTCGTTTCTTCCGCTTTAGAGCTCTTCGTATCCACGGTGTCCGCTGAATATCTTTGTCCAATAGTATCTGGCTGCTTCATCACGGGCCATGTTGTTACTCCGAGTTCCTCGTGCAAACCTGTGTCCTTGTATCAGGTATGGTGATCCGCAATGCATTTCTTGCATCTCGCACGTGTCTGATATTTCTGTCGTCCATATGGATTTTTATTCTCTTTCGCTTCTCTAATTTTTCTTTTTTTCATGAAAAATGTCTTTTGCACATGTATATAAAAATTTGATTTAAATTTTTGCCAGACTTACTTGATCAAAATCTTACATCTTTTTAAATTCCAAAATAGGGCTTTCTATTCTGAATAAATAAACGTAAAATGAGACGAAAGACAATTGAAGAACAGAAGAAAAGAAATGCTATTTATCGACACGCGTGGAACTTTAGTAGAAACGGACTGTGAAAAAACTCGGAAAAACTTAGAGATCCGGAGAGATATATATAAATTTGAAAAACCCATATAAAGCAGTGCAATGTTTCTCTGGAAACGCGAATAGTAATCAAACCAACGAAGGTAATTATCGGTAAAAATGTAAGATAAAGAAAAAAGCGAGATATGCGTTACTTACCTGCCAGCTAACACGACTTGATAAATTCTCCACAGTCAAGCGGTACTCGGTGCGTGTTGGTGGGCCATATCTACAATGGGAAAAAAAACAGCTATTATCTACATGTCTTTAGAGCAAGCAGGTTTGTCTTGGACCTGACTTTACGTTAATGTAAATGCGAATGAAAATATAGTATAAAATGTAATAATGATATAATTCAAGACATTTACAAAACAGTAAGTTTATGTAAGTTAAGGTGTAATCGTTAGAGCGTAACATTGGATGTATGTACCTGGGCAATGATTGCTTGTAGCTAGATGCAGTCCTCGTGTTTCTGTTCACACTATCTCTGCAAAAAGGGATGTCATGTGAACAGAAATAACGGATCGTCGGTTAAACCTTCAGCAAATAACTACAGATCTGCACTCATTGCTCAGGCACACAATCAATCACCTGTTCCAATCGAATCAAATCTATTCAAAATGCAGCAATAGCGTACCTGTCGTGCCGCATATCGTCTCGGCTGTAACAAACACAATACCACATATCTATTAGTCACCAATTACATCAGATCATTTCGTTCAACTACCAGCAATAAACATAATGTTTGGGAGGGTAATCGCTAGGCGTTATATTGCTATCACTTTTTTAATCGCGGTAAAACTTTAACAATTTGACGTACTCGGGAGAGTAGTCAAATCCAAGACAACCAATTCTGAAGATAAAAATTCGATTTCTAATTAAACGTGTTTTCGTATGCACAAAGTCAAGAGAACTTTACAAACGCGTAATTTACGCCCTCTTTATGCTAGAGCTTATCAATATCCAAGGTTACGTTCTTCCCTGTGCGGACGATGTGCGAAATCGGTTTACACGACATAAAGAACTTAAGATAATATTTAAAAAAAAAAAACATTAAAAAAAACCAAATGAGAAAAGAGAAAAAAAAAGAAACAAAAAATCCATACATAAGAGAAAAGTATCCGAACGGAAAATAAATTGATCAATCGCTTGGATTTCGCACATCCCGAGCCGGCTGCCTGCAGGGGAGGAGGGGATAATGATCGCTCTGATAAAATAAAAAAAAGGATAGCGTGTCTTACGCAGATCGCCTCGAGTCCCCATAACCACCACGGGAGTCACCATAGCGCCACTGGTCACTACCCCTAGGTGTCCCCCGGGCCCTCTCTACAGTAATTCTGTAACAAGACACATTGGATATGCTTACTTGTCTCTCCAGGAGCGTGAGCGTCCGTAGCCACGGTCGCCTCGCCTCCCTGAAACACCCCGTGCTATCTCCACCGCCACTCTGAAACACACCCAACAAAACCCCGCCTAAGTCCACGACTAATTCTTACTCTCTAAAGCTGCTTCAGTCCTGCCTTCCTTCCTTCCTTCCTTCTTTTTTCCTTTCCTTTCCATTCCTCAGTCTCCTTTCTCCGCGAAATCTGATCAAATATCATCCGTCCCTCTCTTTCTCTATCGTCCGGTTTCGTCCGAGGCGCTGTCCCCTCTCTCTCTCTCTCTCTCGCTCTCACTCTCTCCTTTCTCTCTCTCTCTCTCTCTCTCTCTCTCACGACCCATTATCGTTCCTTATATAGTCTAAACTGTTTTCTTTATACGATGCTACTTATCGAATTAATTTTCTTTTACCACATCCATCAGCTTTTTCATAACTATATCTGTAATCCTTACACGGAGAAAAATGATTCAATTAATTGGAATTCTGGTGGAACTAAATGATCCAAAATTTTGGTAAAGCCTATTAAATTTATGATAAAATATTCTAGAATTCTTAGTTATATATATAAAATACATAATATAACATTCAAAATTTTCTTAATTAAATCTACTAAAATTAATCAGAAATCTGAGACTTGATCAGAATTCTGAATCGTTTATTTTTCATCAAAATTTCAGTTAATTCAATCAAATATTTTTCTCCCTGTATAATTACGAAATTTTCTCTCTTTTTTTTTTAAGTTAAAATATAATACGGTGTATTATACAGGATCACATGATGAATTTATGAAAAAGCATATGTGCCAAATTTTTCGGCACAAAAGAAGCAATATAACATTTCTCCAGACGAAGATATATTATTGCCAAGACTTTTTTTACTCGGGGAATTGATGGAAGTAGTTCAAAATGGCGGTAAGTCATTTAAGACGCATTTTATCTCGCTAAATGTCCAATCGTTAATTTGGAGGACAGACGCCGTTTACTATAGATGCAAAATTAAAGGTATTAACGGAACACCCGTTAAATGCGAACAGATACAATTGTGCACTGTACATTTGTCTTTAATTAAATAGAAGCAACAGCGAATAATATTACTGGTACAGGTTGAAATGCAATGCGATTAGAGCGTTAAGAATATTGCCACCGCATTCGACCACACTTTATCAGCTATTATAATGTTTATTATATTTTGAAAACTACTATTATGTATTACATGAAAAGCTACTAATATTATTGACACTTACATAAATTCCCAAAAGAAAGAAAGAATAAGCATATAGAAAAGAAAATTTTTCAGAGAAAGTTATTTACGTGTTGTGCTGAATAGATTTCATTTTCTCATTCGAATGCTATTGCTTCTCACATCAATCTAATCTCAAGTGATATATAACAAGATCAAGTTGATAATAAACTGTTTACTTAAGATAATAAGATTAATAATATTTAATCGAGAAAGAAATATTGAGTTAAATTATGTAAGTGATAAATAATTCGCAGGTAAAACAATATTTATTATTTCTATGTGTGAATGTCTCTAGTGACTTAACATTTAGGATCTTAAAAGATCCTAAAAAATTAAGTTCCTTAAATAACTTAAGATTACGTTTATACGAGCATCTTTAATTGGATTTAATAACATCCGTAGTTATGAAACTGGCCAATCGCCACTATTCCTCTGAAGAATGGAATGACTGATTAGCTAGCTTCTAATTACGAATATTATTAAACTCGATTAAAGTGTCCGTGTAAAAGTAGTCTTAGACACTGTTCGTCAGTAAATTTGAGCCATTTAGAATCAAGTAATTAAAAAATTTCATTATTTAGTAATTAATCAATTAGTCAGAAAAGAATATTTATTATGTAAATCAGAAAATATTTATGGCTCGATATAATAAATATCGCATATCACCATTCTAAAAGTAAACTTACAAATTAGCTGTATTGCAATGTACTAATATTTCAATTAAAAAAAATTATCAATTTTAATAAGAAGTGATCATGTTAAATTATTATAATTTATTTCTGTACATGAAATAACAAAGTGTACTCTTAAGATTGCTATCGTCAATAGAATAGATGTATTATTTAATATTTATATAAATTATAAAGATTTGTAGAAAGGAACTACATATCTGTTGTGATATTAGTTAATTTCGCTAATCCCAAATTTAACTCACCCTTAGTGTGTTAGCATGAATTAAAATTTCTTAGTGTTTAAATAGTGAACCTCCAGTACCAATAATATTATAATTATGATATAGTTCAAACATTAATGTAATAATCACAATAACAATCCACATACTAAATGGATTGTTATAGAAACTATTCAGTCATGCAAACATGCTACCTATACCATTCCGCCTAATATCGCCTAGTACATGTATGTTTCATACACTAAATGAAATAGAATTGCATTACCTTTCGCCTAAAAGTTCTTTTCCGTTTAATTCGTATACGGCATCGTCAGCATCTCTATAGTCGTCGAATTCCTAAAAAAAAGAGAATTTTTTCGTTATTATTTAAAAATAATATGCATGTTTTTATTTCAGTATCGGTTGGATCATATATTACTGATGTATTTATATGCAATCTATGTATTAATTATAAGTTTTCATAAATAATGCTAAATTATAAATATCATTGTATTATTCACGAATTGTAAATGTACATAATGAACATAAAAATCAACCATCACAGATAATGTGATAGAATGCTTAGATATGCATAATGTTAATAGCTAAGACTTTAATTTATTCATAATTGTCTAAAATTTTTATAAATTTCTTCCTGCAAAAGTTTTAGAGTAGGATATATCATTTTTTTACTTAATAAATAAATCATACATTATCAAATAATATTATATATATATATATAAAACTATATAGAGTGCAGTCTGGATTATTGCATGTGCTTACAAAATTTCAAATTATTGGTATAAGTAACTATCTGGTAGTACATAGCCCATTATAGATGTGGTTTAGTTTTCCTGATTATACATAACTTACAAAGCTTTTGCAGAATAATCGATGATAAGCAGCACACAGCTCCACTAAACCGCCACAGTACCAGTGTGCTCAGGGCTCAGGTCAGGTCAACTCAGGTTATCGAATTGTATATTTGTAATTTAACACTCTGCAGCTTACCCACTTTGGTCCAAATAATGATTAAAAAAAAAAACGAATAACCATTTCTTTTGGAAATAAATTTTATCATCTCTTTATTCAAAAGCATTATTACATCAATGATTGCAATATCAAATATAATCTTCATTTTTTCATAAAATAAGAGAAAGTGATCGAGAGATAAATCAGTAATCTTTAACACAAAATGTTATGCTACACGATTCAATAAATTTATAAAGAAAAATTTCCAAATAGTTAAAATGTATTTTTATAAAACAATTGCAAAGCTAAAAAATATTAAGACTCGTTAATTCCTAAAACACATCAGTTTCAAAGAGATATATATTTGTGTAATAACTGCAGACAAATGAATATTACAGGACCAAATTGAGCGATGTAAAGTGTTATACTCAAGATATTTACAGCTGGGTACAGATACTTACAACAAAGCCATAACCATTCTTGATGAGAACATCACGGAACCGACCGTAGCCTCTGAAAAATCTCTCAAGGTCTCTTTCCCTGGTGCCGTATGGAAGCCCACCGACATAGACTCTTGTCCCTACCATACTGTAAAAAAAACAATTGAACCACATTAGACTTACCACAAAGGCAAATCCATTCTTCATAGCGACCTCCTTGATTCTACCATATTTCCGGAAGAACTTCTCAAGGTCGCGCTCTCTCACCCGGTACGTTAAGCCACCAACGAATACTCGAGTGCTCATTCTTAAAGGAAAATATAAAAACACCTTACATAACAGGCTACCTGCAGAACCTGCCGTTTAATCACATGACAACATAAGATAATCGTTATTTTCCAAAATTCTAACCGAGAGACGGTTAAAAATAAACTTTAATTGTTTGTAAACAAAACATAACGGTGTTTCTATAATTGTTCTTTCAAGGAATATAGTAACTCAAATTAAATTTAATATCGGATTTATTAACAATTTTTATTATTCCAATATATAATACTTATATCGTATGCTACTGTTTCATCAACGCATATGTAAAAAAAATCATTAATTATTCTCAATGTTTCTTTAATGCAACAAGGTGCTGACACGCTTCACGAGACAAACGTACGGAAATTTCCCGGAAGATACGCATCGCATGGAACTCGCCGTTTTCACGCCGTGATTGAGAGGACGCATGAAATTTCTTTTCCGTTTGCGCAAGACTTGAAGGGGGGAAAAAAAAAGATGGAATTAGAAAGAACATTTTCGTTGTGTCACGCCGGCGTGCACGCGCTGATAAGACGCCACGTTGAAAGTTCTAGAAATTTGTGTCCGATCTCGGAAACACCACGCTCATCCGGCTTCATCGAATCGGTACGATCGATACGGAAGGCGCCGCGTCGGTTTATTGCGCCGTGAACGATACTCCGGAGTCGTAATAATGGCCGCGGAAAAACGATCCGCATTTTAGCGCGACGCGCATAAACAATGATCCGCGCTCGCGTGCTTTCCTCGAATCGACGCGGACTTTCGTTTCGTCACGAAACGCGGCATCGTCATCGCGTTGAAACGAATAACGCGTCGTATTTCGCCGAGCGGGAACGAAAGCTGGTAAGAGAGCGTGCTCTGTGCTTCAGGGTTACATCACGTTACACAGAGTAACGGACAATCGAATTCAGTTTTACAACGTTCACAGTTTTTTTCCCCGCCCTCCGAGAAGACTAGCTACGGAAATTATCGGACGAAACGGACATCTGATTATTTGTACTCACCTGAACGTTCGACTTGTGGTAAGTAACTTGCTATAAGTGAGCTCTACTGTAATACGAAATCAACGAGATTGAGGACGATACTGAGCGGAATCCGAACAGCGAGGTAGCTTCGTAGCAACAACGGAAACAAAACGGGGTTCACTCGACGGCGCGCAGGGCATAGCCTTGACGCCAGGCGCACCGTATCGGCGGCGGTGCCACTTCCCACCACCTTCCCCCACTTTCCCCAACGACGCAACTCACGCAACGGCCGAGAGAAAGAATTCGTCCGGCCTTGGATATAGCACAGACAGCTTTCCCGTCGAAACGATAATGCAGCGTGTATAGCGGAAATGTGTGCAGGTATATTATTCTGTAAAATAATTCGAAAAAGAATGATATAAGGTTCCGTCGAACGAGGTACTTTTCCCCCCACCCCTGTACTCTGTGGGTCATTCGCTTTTACGCGGGATTCAGTCGCTCGGTCGATCGACGTAATTCGACTCGGATAAAATCCGAGGATCTTTACGGACGTTTCGCGATACTGTTAAAATAACTTAACGACGTTTATCGGCGAAATAGGTTACTTTTACAGTTGATGGGGAACACTTCCGGCGCGGGTTCGAGGCTAGGACGCGCGCGACGCGCATGAACGGAAGCATACTACTCGCGTAGTAGAGCGATTCGAACTTCCGAATTCTTCGGGATCGTGATTACTCGGCCGAATAGAAGAGGCGTGATTACTTGGGGAGTTCCGTGGAAAATGCGGAAAAACGGCGCTTCTCTCGAATTATTTTCAGGTATTTTGCCGAAATTGCGAGCCGCAAAGCAAGTGGTGAATAAAGGCGATACGTGTTTTAATAGGTCTGTTCTTTTTGGCTGAACTTTTGCACCAGGTCATCTTTCTTCCTCTTCTTTCTTCCTGGAGAGAAAAGGAAGAAAGATGAACTGTGGTGCAAAAGTTTAGCCAAAATGAACAGGTCTAATTATTGATGCTCGAGCTGGCCTCAAATTGTTTATTGGTATCTATAGAAAAATTTCTTAAATGCAATTTCTACAATTTATTTGTTAAACCGGCGTCCCATGAGCGAAAATTTACAGCGGAATGAAACAGCGAGACCAATCACAATCGCAGAAAAGAAAGTAAAGTAATGATTGCAGAGTTGTGATTAGTCGCACTGTTCCATTCCGCTGTAAATTTCCGCTTATGGAACGCCAGTCTTACGCCTTTGTAAGAATTTTAAAATTTCTACAGGAGTACATACATAGATCAACATAATTTTTTTTTTACAGATATTATATATGTCGAGTTATACGTCTATAGGTGCCTTTTTAAGCTGACGCTCAACGCTCATTTTCAGCATCAAAATATTAAAATAATAGATCGCGTGATCAAAATTGATGCTTAATATTCGTCAATTTCTATCACGTGACTTATTTTAACGCCGAAAATCGCTGAAAATTCATGCGTCAGCATGAAAAGATATCTTATCCTCGTTGTTTGAAATCACCAACAAAATCACTTAAAAAGAGATAAATATATTCGGGCATTGAAAAGAGAGAAGGTGAAAATGCTGAACGCAAAAAGTGTAAGCAAGGCTAACAGATTTTTCATTATACAAAAATCATGCGTTTAAAGTTAAAACTAAAAAATAACACGCGCGATAATTTTATTGCATCAACAAGACGGGATATAAGTAATCTTTGTATTCGATTATGATAACGAAAAAACTCGGCAGAAGAAATTAACGCGTTGTCGATATATCGAAATTGCGTCGCTATCTCTTTTTCAAAAACTCGCCAACGTTTCCCTATCTTTATGATATAAAATTTTCTAAAGTCGCGCGTTTTGGGGGCAACGCAAGAATCTTGGATCGCGCGTTTGCGTGAGATAAACGTTCGTCGTGGCATATACTAGAAAACGGCTCGAGATTTGGACCGTAATTTGAAATTGTATGTATAACATGTACACAGGTGGATACCGAGAGGAGTATCGAGAAACGAGATCCGCCAGGAGCTGCGCGTACGGGCGCTACTAACGCCACCTACTGAAAACAAAAATGGTAGCGAGCAATATGCCCTATCCCTGCCCCGCTTTAATGGCACGCCAAATGTCTGCGTTCTCTAGGCTTCCTTCTACCATGTATTCCCCTCCGACCGATGTATCTGATCCCGCTGTGAATAGAGGAAATCGCATTCCGGTAGTAGACTTTGTTACGCGTGCGAAATAAGCGGGGCCGTCTTATAACCAAAACATAAGGTGAAAGCAAAAGCCGTTGGCGAGATATTTAGCCGAATTATAACCGCACCAGCTCCCGATACGACGTGTCACTCGCCTTATATAATGAAATTAGCCGCGCACGATCCCGCATGCCAGTTCCACGCCCGTAATATGCGTCATCCGCTGCTAGAAACACGAGAATCCCCAAAGTACGATAACGGTAGCCCAGCTGAGAAGCGTTCTCCGTGGTTTGCTATTGGGAATATGCACGTTTTCCTTTTTCCGTCCCGGTAGATTATATCGATATCCTACGTATCCTCGTGTAACACTCGTTTTCATTATTTTCATTACAGCCTGCAAGGCTTTTCAACGTTTTCTTATTGGGTTTTCATAATTTTTGGGAGGGAAAAACTTGTACTATACTGCTAAAACTTGTATGTTTATTACTATATATATATATATTCACTATCTTAGTAAAACGATCAGGTATCATTTTTTGCAAGCATTATGAAAGATTTATTCTTGCATGTTATTGTGAAGACTTGTACAGATTGGTAGTTTATAAGTAAATAAAATTGTTCTATTTTTTAAATTGCTAAGGTCCTTTTTTATTTATTGTGCATTGTTACAGATTGTCAGGCTTCTCATAGACGGGTAATGTCTGATAGAGCAAACGCGATGAAGCTAGAAGCTGAGATGGCTGCGCCTTTGCATCTGCAGAGACTGGAACGCAGCTTGAATGTACAGCCTTTCTTAAAACAGATTGATAATCTTTTTCAAGAACAAGCTAGGTACTGTTATATTTATGTTTTTTAGCTTGTAATACATTAATAGTATATCATAAATTAATACTATGGATACAGTAATACGAATATTTTGTTTCTATTTTTCAGTGAAGATGACAAGTCTGTCTCATCGGAATCTTCTGATGGTTCAGATGCTTATCTTGATAATGTACCCACGCGAAAAGAAGGTTGGTATATATCATTGATTTTAATTTTATTAAACCATTTAATTAATGTTTTTGTAACATAAATTATTTTTTTAGAAGCAAGAATCAATAAGTTAAGACTGTACAATATGGCTAGTGTAGGAGATGAAAGACGTTGGTTGCAAGATATTCTTTTAAGTGATTCCTCTGATAGTTCTGCATCAGGTTCTGACACAGATAGCCAAATCACGGAAGAAGATTTTCAAGAGATGTTGAAGTTTCACATATTACGAAAAAAATATCAAGGTCGTTTTTATCAGAAACCAGAAGTAAGGACCATGTGATAGTTAAACTTCGTATGTTTTTAATAATGCAAATAATTCGGGATATTATAAAATATATATTTATGTATTATAAAATTACATCCACAAGTTACACATACTTATTTTTCTTATTTTTTCAAAGAATGTTGCCGTTTGATATTTTTGTATCCTGAGACTCCTCTAACAAATTATAATTTGATATTATGACAATTTCATAACGATATTATCTTTTTACTATTGGTCTTTATGCGATTTTCAATTACTTGTTTTTATTTATTTGTACTTATATTTTATTTTATACATTACCATGTTTTTGTTAGCATATGGCTATAACTTTGTTACAGGTTGAATTGTTTGCAATATTCTTACTATATATTTTAATTTACAATATAGAATTAAGAATTTGGAACTGACTTGGTTTATTAGTCTATTTTTATTTTTTTTATTTATAAAGTATTGTTATTTTCAGAATATACAATATCAATATTATAGTGCGGGTTTATTATCCAATTACGATAGATTTTTAGAGCATCAAAAGTTAATTGTGGGAAATAAAAAGAAGAAAGAGAAAAAGCCAGAAAAAAAAATTATGAAAATCAAGAAGGAAAAAATTAATCGTCACTGCGCATCTGAGGAATATCGTGTATGTACTAAATTTTACATTTATATTTTGACACACATTTTATATTTTCTTTTTATGAAATGTTATATGCTCTATTTTTAGAAAGGGGAATATCTGGAGGGAGAATGGGATAAATCAATTCCCAGAGAAGAAGAGTTAGATGAATCTGAATTGGAAGCTATCATGCGTCATCAACCTCGAGGAAGAGGTAGGAAAAAACATAATACTAAGAGTGTTGAAGTGATGACGATGAGAAGAAGAAAAATATGGGTGATGATGTCTAAAAAGGAACTAGGAAAAGTACAAAGGGCAAAAACCAATAATCATAAGGAAATGCTAATAAGTTGTAAGAAAGTAGCGCAGCATTGTATGAAATATTGGAGGCAAAAAGCCATGCAAGTGAGTATAAATTAATACTTAGGTTAATACTTATTACTTAAAATTATTAATCATACATATTATATATATATTTATCTCTTTTAGTCGCAGAGAAATATGAAGGATACTATCTGGCGGGCAAAACGTTTGACAAGAGAAATGCAGACTTACTGGAAACGTTATGACCGAGTCGAACGGGAAACTAGAAGAAGATTAGAGAAAGAAGCTGAAGAACAACGTAAAATGGATGTAGAACTTATTGAAGTGAGAGAATATTAGAAAATATAAAAGGGTACATTTTTTACTTTTATTTTTTCTGAATGTTTTTATATTACTCTTATTTTAGGCAAAACGTCAGCAAAGGAAATTAAATTTCCTTATTACCCAGACAGAATTGTATGCTCATTTTATGTCGCGAAAAATAGATAAAGCGTCAACAGAGGAACAATTAAGAATCTTGAATCAATTAGATGAAGAAAAGAATCCCAGACTTATTGGCATCGATGATTATGATAGGTATTTGATTTAAATATATAATTTTTTTTACATAAATCTTAATAATTAGATAATTACTTTAATGGCTGTTGAATGTGATTAAAAAAGTCAACTTTAATTATTTAGGAT